CTTCCCCCAGCCTGTACTGATACTGGGGGTTACCCCGACCCAGGTGCATGACCTTGCACTTGGCCTTGTTGAACCTCATGGCATTCACACAGGCCCACCTCTCCAGCTTTTCCAGGTCTCTTTGGATGACATCCTGTCCTTCTGGCATGTCAACCGCACCACTCAGCTTAGTGTCATCTTCAAACTTGCTGAGGGTGCACTTGATCTCACTGTCTATGCCATTGATAAAAATATTAAACAGCACGGGTCCCAGTATGGACCCCTGAAGGACACCACTTGTCACTGGTCTCCATTTGGCCATAGAGCCATTGACCACTACCCTCTGGATGTGACCATCCAACCAATTTCTTATCCACCAAACAGTCCACCCATCAAATCCATAGCTCCCCAATTTAGAGAGAAGGATGTTGTGGGGGATCGTGTTGAAGGCTTTACAGACATCCAGATCAATGACATCCGTTGCTTTTCCCTTGTCCACTGATGCAATCTCTCCATCATAGAAAGCCACTAGTTTGGTCAGGCAGGACTTGCCCTTGGTGAAGCTATGCTGGCTGTCCCAAATCACCTCCCTGGCCTTCATGTGCTTTAGCATAGCTTCTAGGAGGATCTGTTCCATGACCTTCCCAGGCACAGAGGTGAGGCTGGCAGGTCGGTAGTTCCCAGGGTCCTCCTTTTGACCCTTTTTAAAAATGGGTGCAATGTTTCCCTTTTTCCAATCACCAGGGACTTCACCTGACTGCCATGACTTTTCCAATAGGGAGGGTGGCTTCTTGACTACATCGGCCAATTCCCTCAGGATGCATCTCATCAGGTCCCATAGAATTATGTATCTTCAGGTGGTCTCAAACTTGATCATCTCTTGCAATGGGAGGTGCTTTGCTCCCCCAGTCCACGTCTTGTGGTCCATCTACTCGAGGTGTGGGAAGGGACATTGCCAGCGAAGACCAAGGCAAAGAAGTTATTGAATACCTTGGCTTTCTCCTCGTCCATTGTTACCAGTTTGCCAGTCTTGTTCACTGGGGGCTATGCTTTCTTTGACCTTCCTTTTCTGGCTGGCATACCTGTCCCTATACTCTTCCCAGGATACCTGTGCCTGCTTCCACTGCCTGTGCAGTTCCCTCTTGCCCTTTAGTTTGACTGGCAGGTCAACTCATTGACGTATCATTTGAAGTTGAATTTATGAAGAAGAATATGCAAAGCAGGTAAACTTTGACACCAATGTTAACATGTTTTTTAATCCTACTGTAGGTTTGCAGGCTCAGAATTGTACAACTCAGCCTCCCAGTGTCTCAGGTAACGTGGTACCTGAGCTGCTGCATTCTGTCATGGTTCACAACTGAAGACACCTCAACTGAGAAGTAAAGCTACCTTGTTTTGATTTCTGATTTTAGTTTCTGAGGTGCCTGGGATGTTATGCTGAGACGTAGTACAGAACTGAACCTAAACTCTGAACTCGGCGGTGGTGGAGGGGTTGTCAGGCTTTGCTTCTCTCAGTGCTCAGCGCCGGGGAAGCTGTTGGTGAGAGTGAGGTGCTGTTACTGCTGCCTAGGGGGTGAGAGATGGCACTAAGGATTGAGGATGCAGCTGAAGAGAATAAGACGGAGGAACACCAATATGATTTGGCTGAGTAAAAGAGTGAGTATCACCAATCTAACCTTTAAAAGATCTCATGAGTGATGCAAATGTAGCCCAAGGTCAGTTAGGGCAGGTCAACAGATGAATGGTCAGTCAAGTTAAAATGCTTTTGATCCAGAAGTTAAACCTTCACTCTTACAGTCAGATGTGCTTACAGAGGAAGTACCTTATAGGTATGCTTTTGGTTTTGTTAATACATGCTCAGAGAAAACATGGAAATATCAGTAATCCCACAGAATAAGATGTTATGTGCTATTTTGGGCAGGTCACCTTCTGGGTTTGAGCTGTGTATTTGCACCGTTGCGTGCTATACAACTGAAATCTATTGAGAAAGACGTATATAGGCTATACCTTTGTGCTCACCTTTCGTATCAAACTAACAAGGTCGCTAGTGATTTTGATTCTAGCTGGGATTTTTTTTTGTTCTTTAGCTTTGTTATTAGTAGCCAAGTTCTAGTAATTTTATTTCTTGTATCAATATTTTATGACCAAAGCATAGTCTAAATGAGCACCTTATCAAGTGAAATGATGTGCATATCCTTTTATACTGCTGCTGTCTGATAACTGGTGAATCTTGAGTGGAGAATTCGGAAAAATAAAAGGCAAACAAACTTGGATTCAGTAAAAAGCAAAAAGCCTTATTCCAGCTTTACATTACAGACTTCACTTTTAGATGATCTCAGGAAGTGGAACCTTTAAATTTCTTCCCTTTAACATCTGGAAATCTCTCAAAACTGGAGATAACCATGCACAGCACACAGCTTTGGGGCAAGGAGTGTGTCTTTTACTGTCATGATCTGACTGACCAGCAGGGAAAAAGGAACTCGTTTTCGTGTAATTACCTTCGCTTTTCTGTTGGGTGTTTCCTGCTAAGCTCAGTAAAGGAAGAAAGTCTGCAAAAGGAGTTGGGCTAGTTGCAGATTGGTTTAATTAAAAACCTGAAGTACTTAGCCACCGTCAGCAAGATCCAGTCTGAACCAGCTACACAGGTAACAAAAATCAGTTTTTACAGAGAAATCGAATGTAATTATACAGAACACTGTCAAATAATTATTTAAGGTAATAGCTGACCTAAATAGATGGTCCGTAGTGCTGACTTCACTACAGTGAGGCGTTCTACAGCCTAACGTTTAATACCTAGTCTATGATTATGTCATTTCTGTGCTGGGAAGTGTAAAGCAGCCTGTGGAGTGATAAGGAGGAGTAAGGTACGCAATGGCTGACTGAGAAAGTCCTCTCCGTGCCGTTTCCCAGGCGCGTGGTGGTGGTTGGTTATCTGCCTTCATGTTGCGCGGGTCTGGAGCTTCCAGCGGGATGGTGCGTCTCTCTCTTTGCTCTCCTTAGTACGCTCCGCAGCGGACCTTCCTCCTCACTGCTCTCCTCAGAGCTGGAAATCCCGGTGCCTATTTCTGTGCCGATTGAAGGTCTTTCGTAAGGGTCACTTTGACATAAGACTCTCTCCTCTTGGCACTCTTGCCTGTGTGGAAACTTAAGGCTTTCATTGAAGAAGGCAGAAGCCATGCACTCAGCTGCCGTCTTATCGCAAGCACATAGCAGTTTCTCACACATGCTCCAACCAATACCTTAAAAAGAAGTTTCAGAATTCATATTTCAAAGCAGTTGCAATTAGTCAATGTGTAATTTGCCATGGGTAGATAAGCTTTTGAAATAAGATTTTCAAATCTACCTTGAATTTTCATCTCCAAACTCCCCTTTAATCATCCAAATAGAAGCCTGAAACCAAGGTGTGGGGTAGCTGAAGGTCTAACTGGCTTTAGGTGAATTTGTGAATGTAAAGACAGCACCAACTGACTTCTGTCTCCAGACATAAAATACCCAAATGTAATTTTCTCAGCCTGACCTGGTCACATCATACACAGTGGTGTAATAATCTTTATCTCAACTAGGAGAAAAGCTCTGTTTTATAGAAAGCATTGCTAACATTTTGTAAGTCAAATTTTTATGCCTCCATGCTCAGCTCTAGCAGCTCACAGGCACAGTGGCATTCAGCCTGTAATGCTTTGATACGCTGTCATCAGGACACGGGAAATTTCCTCTAGCCCAAACTTACATTTTGGCTTATGATCAAAACATACGACTTCAGATCTTGAACTTCTTTCTGCATGACATCCAAGTTTCTTCACTTGTTCCATACAACAGTGATGAGAGAAGCAGCACCTAAAATAAACAGTAGATGTAAATGAAAAATACTTACTCTTCCTGCATCACAGAGTACTGGCAATTATCACAGAATGGAATCACAGAATCACAAAATCACATAATGGCAAAGGTTGGAAGGGACCTCGGGAGACCATCCAGTCCAACCCCCCTGCTAAAGCAGGCTCACCCAGAGCAGGTTACACAGGACATCGTCCAGGAGGGCTTTGAATTTTTTGTTTTCATTTTAAGACATATAATTACAATTGTAACTGTGACCTAATCCTCTGTGAGAAGTGTCTTCAAGTGTTCAAATATTGTTGACTGAAAATCTGAAAACTGCATCATGATAGCCAGAGCCTTGACTAGCCTTCACCTGGTCTACTTGCTCATGCATAGAAATACAATACACATTTATTTGTGTGCAAGTGTAGGAAAATTGTGTGTGCTAAGTGCTGTACTTAGACCTGATGTGCCCCCGAGGGCTATGAACTTCCACACAGGAGAGATTTTTAGTTGTAAATGCAACACTCTTAAAGGAGATTTCTTTACTTTGGTTGAACTCTCTGCATTCCTCCAGAATTCCTCCTCTTTGTCTGCCATGCCGTGACAGCACACAGTTGACTGTGGCAGGTCTCTTGGCTACAGCTCAGGCCATACTTCACTCGAGCTGTAGTCTCTTCTGAAGGACAGTGCAGCACAGATGTGTGGTAACTCTTCATAAATCACTTTCCGAACCACCTCTTAGACAAGTTTCGCAGCAACCCTTATCCTTAACTCTTTTGGTATGCTCTTCCTTTTGCTTTACTTACCTCCCATCATTCTCCTTTCTTATTTAGGGTTAGTAAGTCCTCTCCAAAGCATTGATGCAATAATAGAATATCTTAGTGACATTTGAGTATTCATGTTTTATGTATTTAAGTGGCTTTTTTTTTTTTAAATATGGCCTGACTACTGATACATCGCTCTACAAGGCCCAACAAAAGGCATACTGATCTCTGTTGGTCCATAGCTGCCCCAGTAATGCCCACACTTAATGGCAGATCATAGAAGAGCCCACACCTGTCCAGTGCATCAGTAGGATGACCTCTTCCTTCTTGGCCACAGTAGCAACCGTAAGACTCAAATTCCTCCGGGCATCGCTCAGTTAAACAGAACAGCATTTCTCCTAGCTGGGGCAGCTCCCTCTTCACTCTTCCATTTCCTCTCTCTTGCAGAAAGGTTAATCGCTCACATACTATAATGCAAAAAATGTTATATGACACATTATGTTTTCACTGGGTGGGAGCTCTCTTGTGATGATAGAAGTATTTTCTGAGCATCAGAAACTTTTAAAGACAACATTGTACTATTTTTAAATCATTGCTCCAGTCCACGAACTATGGCTATTAGAATACTGCTGAGCAACACAGCAGAAGTGGTGTGGGGGGGAATATTTAAGGGGAAGAGAGATCCCTGTGAAGACGTAAATTACGAGTCAAATTGGGTTGCAATGACAGTACTTTGCAATCCTTTGTAATCCTTCATAGTTAAATTATTCTTCTATTCAAACCTAGCTGAGTATTCAGTAGCTTCTGTCTTGGGTAATTCAGAAAACAGTCCTAACCTCTTGTGCTTGCACAGTGATGGCTGGGCAGTGACTATGCCATGCTGGAGGAAACAATACCTTTTTTTTTCATTTGAAATACCTTCCACCTAGCATTAAAGGTCTACTAGGTCTAAGATGTACATGATTCTTTCATGATATGCTTACCAAAATTGTCCCGTTAAAGCTTGGCTACCATCACAGAGTAATCAGTAATAGTGTTGCTTTCCCAAAGGAAAGATTCTGGTTTTTCACTTCAAAAAGAATTATTTCCTGATATTACAAACCAGGGAAGACCACCTTGATTATCACACTCACACTTATTAACTGCAATTTGATTAGACCTATGATGCCTCTATCCCAAATGCAGGAGCAATCTGTTATAAGGGTTACTGTGCTGCCGAGGTCTTGGCATCTCTGTGTCCCAACCCTAATGCCTCTGTGGCTTCTTCACCCACTCAGGAAGAATTGATACAGTGGGAATTATCCCTAAGATTTGAGATCAGAGTGTGTTCCATGTCAGGAAAAATGATGTCAAGGGGGCCTCTTTTGGGACTTTGCCAGGGGGAGAGAGAGGGTGGGCTCCTGTTCCCTGTGCATCCTCCTTGCTCCCATGTTTAATCCCATCTTCTCTTCTGCAGCTCTTGACTGACTCTCCCTGCTTCTTCCAGGGACAACCCTGGATTACTTCCCCCAACAGAAAATTCTTCTGTGCCTCGCTGGGTCTTTGCTCACTCATGATAATTTATCAGGAACAAACCTCAGGTTCATGCACTGATGCGCACTCTCTAAAAGCTGGTATTTTACAATCATATTTTCCCATTTGACAGAAGGCTGGGTTGGTTCCTCATGTCTGCTCAGTTCCAGCTCTGGGACTGCTTCTCTCCATTGAGAAGCCTAACAACATGGATGGGACAGTCCGTGAGTGTGGATTTACAGCAGTGACAGGTCTGAAGTGTCTTGGGATTTCTGTGAACTCTGGGCAGGGCTTGGAACAGAATCAGAAATGGTGAGAAAAAGGCCAACTCTGTCAAGAGGAGTGACGAGCAGGGGCAGTTCCTTCTATTGCTTCTGCTGCTTGTAAAATAAAGCAACTCAAAGACATGATTAAATTACTGCCTAAAAAAAAAAAGCAAGGGAAAACATTCACTGAACTCATTTTAAATCTTGTACTGTAGAAAAATTTACTTATGACCTAATCATAAATAGTTTTGGAAGTGTTAATGATAGCACATTGGTGGAAGATATTAAACTGTTAGAAGCTTTAGAGATGACTGCATCTCCTGTTCTTATAAATACCAATAAGTATCTGCTTGTCTAACTGGTTTAGAATAACTATAATCTTTATATGTCATATACACCTACCTTTTAATATAGAGGTAGCTGAGTATTTAATCAGAAATAGCTGGAAAAGGACCCTTCATTTACCTTTTTCTGCAGGTTCATTGGGTCCCCTGTCAGACAGTACCAGTTCCAGAGCTATTCCAGAGGAAGCTGTGCTCCGGCCATCCCTTGCAGGGCTTGTCTCTGGAGGCAACATATATATAGATTAGACTTGCAAAGGTAGAATAAACTCTTCATTCAGTAATGTGTCCAAAAGTGCATATTCTGAACCATAATCAGTTGGCAGTCTTCTAACATTTGTTTAATTCATAGTTGGAAGACTTTAGTTAAGCTTTCCTGGTCAGTGTTTGATGGTGAACTGCCCTTTCCAGTGCAATCAGTGTTGTGCACCCTGTATTCTGTGTAATCTATCCAGATTTAGGGAGAAAATAGTGTTATTCTACACATCTATGAGAAATGCTGAATCCTCAGATAGCTGTGGACAGGAATAGGGGAGTACTGTAAATTAGAATGGGTGTAATTCAGTTTTTACTTGCCTTTTGCCTTTGTCCTTGCAGATAGGCCTGCAGGAATCTTCTTGGTGGGGACAGTTTTGACTTGCATTGAGTTGCTATCTCCTGGGAAGGAGGCTGGGGAGGTGGTTATCTCTTCCACTGGGACCACAGCTTCCATAAATCCATCTTCTTCTGAATAAGCAGAAAGAGGAAACCAGAAGAAAAAACGGAGCAATAAACAGCAAGATTTTCATTTTAGATAGCAGGTCAGAGCAATATTCTCAGGCAGGACTCATGTGAACTGATGGTCATAGAGAAAAAAAAAAAATCTAAATGAAGATTAGAAAAGCAAAAAGTACCCACACCGGTCATTTTGTCACATTTCTTACCTTTCAGAAAACAAGATGCTGGTTAAGTAGGACCAGTATAACTACTGGGGTTTGTATTTATTTTTTTTTTTAAATTGTGTGTGCTGCATACTGAGGTAAAGAGCTGGGCTGGTAGCTGAAAATCATATGGGTTACTGATTAGTCAGCCATACTGAGAGAGAGAGTGCAGGTGAGACGTCATTTTCTGAGTAAAACACACCAAAAAAAATTTGTCCATTCACATGAGGGTACTAAAACTGATAGCAGCAATAGGGAAGGTAGAAAATTATTTGACTGATTCAGAGCGGGCACCTGTAAGATTTACTTCATTCTAAACACAAGCAAATATATGGGGAAAATAAGTTGTGGATGAATAGAAATATAATTTTAAGGAGATTCTTAATTCTAAAAAATAAATTGGTATTTATTTTTAGATTATAATTTCTTTTAAAATCTTTTTTATGTAAGGTAACTTATAAATGAAAACACCTTTGCTAAATGGAAATCAGATGCTTTCATTTTTTTTCTAAATACTCATATGAGGAATGTGGCATTTCACAAACAAAATACTTTGAATACACTAGTGAACATGTGTTTCCACATTTTTAAAGCCTTTCCTTTTAAATACCTTGGCTGAACTTATTACCTGGATTAAACTCAAATTCATTAAATTTGTCCCTCTGAAGTTCTGTTTTTAGTATGTATTGAAAATAACCTGTCATGGGATAAAAGAATAGGTAAAAAAAATGAAAGTACTGCTAAGAACACAAAGAAGCCCGTGAAAGGGTGCAGAAAGGGATCAACAGCAAGACGTTAGTTTTAGTAGCTCAGCAAGGTGCACATTTTATGCCAGGTCGTTTGACAGTGATGTGTTAAAATGAAAGCAATTCCTGCTAGATGTAGAAAATAAAACTGAAGTTTGGGAAATTCTGCACTTAGCTAAGAATAGATATTACAAATAATCTTCCAGGAGCCGTGCAGACCTGCAACACACACAGCACATAGATTTTGTGATATATTCGAGTTAACGGAGGGAACATTTCACCAGAGTTTGGTACAGCAGTGCCCTATTTCTGTACTGGGGTGGGAGATATGGCTCCTGTCCAGAGAGTGTGATCAGAGTTAAAAAATTACTACTTTCTACTCTCCATATTCAGAATTCCTTCACATTTTTCTGGTGCATTTCAGTCTGCCTGGATGATCCTTTCTACAAAAAAAGGCTGCTGAAAACTTCCAAGTCCACCAAGGTGCTTCACTTCTAGTGGTGGCTACTGGTGTGGCTGTGCTCAAGGCAATAACAACTGCAAAAGCTGAAGTGGGTTTTAGACTGGGAAAGGATTCCATGAAATTCTGTGTATAAAGGAAGAGACAAAATAAAAATGAACCCTTCTGGCAGCAGATGCTATGAATGCAAATTAAAGGACCAACCACTGTATGGGAAAACCTTATGTGAAGAGATTTTCACAAATGCCTGCATGAGGAGTGCAAATGAGTGGCTGGAGGCAAAGGACAGCAAATGCTTCTCAGCCTGGATTTATCATTTGTGTATCTGCTATCTCACCCTGATCTCGACTTGATTCTCTGGCAGCCCTGTTGTCACCATGCGTAGATTTTTAAATGTGATGCTTTTAGATGAAGTGTAGCTGTGTCAGCCAAAGGAAAAGGAAAGCTGAGAGTCACTGACCTTTCACTGAGGGGTCGGAGGGAGCGGGAGCTGCACTTCTGTGGTCCCTTGTGGTAACTGCACAAAAAGCAGAGGCATCGCGATGGTGACCTACCTGCTCTGTTTCTGCAATGCATTTCTTGAGTGACTTTTACTGAAAACATCAAAAAGCTTAACCAGACATCACTATTCACGTTGTTTTATAAAGCGGGCAATTGGGAGAAATGAAGTGGTTTGCTCAGGGATGTGCAAGGCAGTGGAAGAACTGGGGGTATAATCCAGAAATCCCAAGCTGCAGATGTTTGCCTGTTACACCACAGAGCTTCATAAACCAAAACCTGTTTCCACCTGGAGTCAGGAGTGACTGATTCATCAACAAAAGTATAATCAGACTCTTACCTCCAGCTTTGGAAGTCCCCAGGACCATCTCACTAGGCTCAAAAGAAATCACTGTTGAAGACAGAAAACGTAAACTCAGAAAACCTGTTGCCAGCACAGACTCTTATGAGAAGTCAAGCCGCTGAGAAGAGCTTTTCAGTGAAGCAGGAAGACCCAGGCATTTCATGCATAGAGATTTGCCCATTTTTCTCTGCGGTGCATTGATTATTGTAGACAAAGCAATACTGATAAAATAATCTCATGGCTGCATTCCAATGATGTACATTACACTGACATAGAAGCAAAAGTACTTCAGCTACACTGAGGTAGCAAATTCAATATTAAGTCCATTTGACAGACAAATACACTAAAGAGAATTAGGTCTAAAATCTCCGTGTTGTGCACAGAAGGATGCCACATTCCGTGTGAGCACCTCATGTGCACCTGCATTGAATGTCAAGTGCAGGCAGGCAGCAACAAGCCCAAATACTTCCTAACCTCTAATTCATTTATTTACCTAATAAACTTTTTAAATTTATGATTAGCTACATTTTGATACATTATATAAAAAAAAATCTCTGCATTTTTTCCTCTGTTGTTAGGATGTTGCGATGTGAGGAAGAATATCTTTGCCTTTGAGCAAGTTTCTGAGTAGTACTTAGCTTCAGCTTAATGCAGTTCCCACGGTTGTCAATGGTGAAGATCCTATGGGCTTAAATGGGGAGAGAGCTAGTTAAATGGTAAATAGTTCTCCAAATATTTCCTTTAAAGTCTGACTAGATATGTTATCTGTGATACACTTTCAGCTTTCTAATATTCCTAATACAGGTTTTTATCCCTTGGCAATATTTTGAGCCTTAGGATGAACTATGTCTCTTAAGAGAGAGCACAAGTAATTTCTGGGGAAATAAAAGATGTGCACGTACAGGTGCACTCAGTCCTTCAGGAGTCCTCAGTTTTCTATTACCAAGCCTCCCAGAAGCAGCTTTAAAAGCATTAACCAAGACTGGAGCTGTTGTCAGGCGAGAACAAGAAGTATCTGGTAAAAAACCCGCCTTGATGATACAGGAAAGGCATGAAGGAACTGCCAGCACTTGCCCTGGGCATAAAGCCCTTTCAGCTAGGTGCCCTATGCATGTGGCACTTCTTTAAAAGCAAAAAGACGTGTTAAAGTCTGACACATTGTTTCTTAACAAAAAAGAAGAAAAAAAAATCCATATGCTTCTGCATTATTCCAGATTCTTACTTAGGGCAATGACTTGCTTTGAGAAACACAGAAGAGCACACTGTACACTGAAACCAGATCTTAAGTTCTCAGAAAGTGCAACTTTTTACCTCTCCCCACTCCCAAAAAATAACTCGCGAATTCCTCTGAGTTGAGCAGTGGCTTGGTTGCACCCATCCAGGGCACATTGCTTGTGTGCTTGGCAGATACAGGGTCTCTGTACATGACAGTATGGCTTTCATAGAATCATGGAACCATTTAGGTTGGAAAAGACCTTTAAGATCATCAAATCCAACCATTAACCTAACACTGCCAAGTCCACCACTAAACCATGTTCCTAAGCACCACATCTCCCCATCTTTTAAATACGTCCAGGGATGGGGACTCGACCACTTCCCTGGGAAGCCCGTTCCAATGCTTGACAACCTTTCCATGAAAAAATTTTTCCTAATGTTCAACCTAAACCTGCCCTGGTGCAACTTGAGGCCATTCCTCTTGCCCTATCGCTTGTTACTTGGCAGAAGAGACCAACACCCACCTCACTACAACCTCCTTTCAGGCAGTTGTAGCAAGTGATAAAGTCTCCCCTCAGCCTCCTTTTCTCCAGGCTTTGCTTGTGATGGGCCCACATCACACAAGTGCATCAGCTGAATCATGCAACGGATGATCTAAGACTGGTCTCCTGTATTTCAGTACTGTATGACTTGGCCCTCATTTACTAGGTGTGCCCTCCCAGAGCTATCCAGGGCTTTGGATGACCTCTCCAGGACCTCTTGTGTTGTAGTGCTCACCATGCAAGTAGGAAAAGAATAGTTTTCTTATCCCGCAGCAATAAGATTTTGCAAGCATCCATTCCTGAATAAGATAACTATTGATTATAGCAGAAAAAAATGAGGATTGTCAGAAGAACCACTTGGTCTTTTGGCTTAGGAACTCACCCAAGAGGCACCAGAGTGAGAGGGACTTCAACATGGATCTGTACGTTGCAAGTAAATAAACCACCAAACCGGTGGCTCACTTGCAACAAAGCATGCTCAACTTCTCCTCATGTCACTGCTTGATCTTGTATAATTAAATGTCTTTGTAAAGACAACAAATATGCAATTGGCTGTGGGTCCAGTGGTTGGCACCCACACAGCATGTCTCTGCCAAACAGCTCACCTGCTGCAACTAGTTTTCCCAGGATAAAGAAAAAGGTTTGTTTGGATGAAAACAGGTTTTGTTGTAGAGTGCTCATTCTCAGCCCTTGGGAAACTTACTGTAAACACTGGTTAAGCACATCGCGTGCACAAATTGAAAAATTGCACCTTCTCATTCAGTCTTGAATTAATCACCAAAACTTTATATCTACTTTTCTATCAGTCCTTTTAGAAGGGTAGAAAGAAAGCAAACAGCCTATTCTTATATTTCATTCTTTCAGCTTTTGGGAGCTGGAAACAGTGCTGCTTGCTCTGTAAGTTGCAAACCTTCTTCCATGGAGGCAGTTGCGGCCTGTGTTTTGTCAGTCCCGTGATGAAGGAACTCTGCAAAAATAAAAGCATTCTTACTCCAGAGAGTGAGGCTTAGGATGCTCATTAGACAAGTTCTTGGCATAGCATAATCACAGTCATCAGAATGGAACTTATTTCTAAATGTTATCACTGTTGTGCTTTTTATAGGGTTATTATATGGTGTAAATATAGCAAATATAAACCTAATTATTGATCATTATGGTAACACTATTAAAATCCTGACTTAATATTTATTCACTGCTGATACTAAGTTCTACTATGCAGCATACAATATAATAAAAAAATCCCTCAGTCTCTATCCTAAAGAGTTTCGACTTAAACAAGAGAAATTGGCTAACAATCAGCGTTCTTTAAATTCCTGTTTCAGCAGGTACTTAATTACGTGGCCCATAGTGAAGGTACAAAGATAAGAATGAAACATTTAAACAGAAAACTTAAATGTTTAAACCCAGACACTGGGCTGGGAACCTTGTTGAAGCAGGGCCTTAAATGTGTGTGCAAACAGAAAAGGAAATCTGAAAATATTTTTAAGTTGCTTTGAGTGTGTTCCTGCTTATATTATTTCTAAATGAGATTCAGGGTTCTCTTCTGAATTCTTTCTCAGAAAAAGGATTCCTTTGGCTGAAATATTCCTGTGGATCAGCAAAAAAATGGTGCTTTAGTTTATTAGGCTTTTTTCTCTTCCTTTCCTATTTTGACATCTTGCTAAAACTTGTCTTTGCTTCTCAGAAGGGAATTCATAGCTTCCAAAATACTCATGGGGGGTTTTTTGAGTATAAATTTATCGTGATTTAATATACTCCAGCCAAAGAATTACAGAGATAAGGACATACCCTCCATGTGAAGTGTTGTCATCTCGCTCTTGCTGGTTGTTTCTGAAAAGGAGAAAGCTGTCTCACAGACTAAAGTGTGAGAAGGGGGCTCGTCACTGTTTAATTTGAATAGTACAACAAATCAGGGATTCACTGAATTTATTCCTATTAGGCAAAGGTTTAGGCAAATATGTCTCCATTTCATTCACATTTTTCTCTGTAATAAAGAATCTGACAAAATCTTTTTCCTAGATATTTGTCAAATAGGATTAATTTTCAGTTCAAAGCCTGACCTGGACAGAACAGCTGCACAGAAAGATAATAACATGAGTGCACACTAATTAAAAATGTTTCATTCAAAGGATTTTTTTTTTCCAATAAGAAATACAATGAGAAGCCTAAAATTAGCGGAGGTATTCAGTGAGCTAGAGTTGAATCTATCTTTATCAGCAGTTGTAAAACCAGCATGATTTTCCTGTTAGCACCTAACAATTTCCCCTTTATTTGTAATGTCTTGGAACCACCACACTTTATAGGAGAGCCATCTGATCCCAGTAAATTACTGGATTACTGGCTTACACAAAACAATTTTCTGGCTTTGATGCAAATTTTCCTGTGGGATTTTCTTCTCCCTTGACCTGTTCATGAGGGGATGCACGTGTCCAGAGCATTATATAGATGTGTATACCTGTCCTTAGCACTGGGGTGTGGAAATACGAGCCAAAGGATTAGAAAAACTAGCATTGCTTTTTCATGTCTGTCTCAGTTTGGGAGTTCAAAGGTCCTCCCCCTGCCATGCTCTGATTGCAATCCATATGAATTAAGTTTTTAATCCAGCCCTGTTCCCACAGGACAGGTATTCAGGCTTACGAGGCTGTAATTTCAGCTACATAGCACAGATCAGTGCATGACAATGGAGATAAATATCCCCTTCATCTTTAGGGAGGATTTTTCCATCCAAGATGGAAACCAAGTAACAGAGCAGAAGGGGTCTATTCTTGCCTTTCCACCTAGTTTTTGCAAGATTTAAGGGGAGATCATTCATTCAGGTTGGCAAGAGCCTCACAGGGTTGGCAGGAGGCTCTTGGAGAAAAAAAAAAATAATCTTCATATCTAACAGGAATTTCCCTGTTGCAGTTTTATCTCTTGCCTCTTGTTCTCTCCCTGTGCATCTCCAGGAAGAGTGTGGCTCCACCTTCTCTCCACACCCCGCTAGGTATTGAGGACAGCAAAAAGATCTCCCCTGAGCCACCTCCTCCTCTTTCATCATGTGTTCCAGCCCCCTCACCAGGTCAGTAACCTCTCCTGGATTTGCTCCAGGATGGCAATTAGTCCACCTTCTTCTCTCTTGGTATTCACTTGAGTAGCAGTAAATGGAAAGGACATGTGAAATGAAGAATAAGACAGACTTTCAGATTCAGTGCAGGAAAGCACCCAGCTACTTCTTCATTCTCGTTGGGTCAAATATGATGCCAGCAGAAAAGCAGGCAGGAGGAATCAGTCGATCAGATCCTTATCATTACCTGTAACCAGAGATGGACAGAAGGAGACATCCAGCCCATTCAAGGAAGAGTTAATATGTGCATTCACAAAGCATTCAATGGCATCTTTGTCACAGTTGCAGAGGAACTGTTCACAGGGATCCCCGGACTCTGGAAATAAAATAAAAATCCAAACAAAGTACTATGGAAATACCTTTTCCACCTCCTGCTTTTTCCTCCCTGTAAGGTTTGTGCCTGTATTCATTGGTGCAAACCTATTTACACTGTGATTCTTCACGTTAAACACAGTCAAGTTTCATAGTCCAACACAGTTTGTTTATAAAACACCATCCGATGTAGCCTGGCACGGCTGGCAATAGACTTCTTGCCTGTACCAGTTTGTTCTGTAGGGTAGTGAGGGCTACACAGCAGTGCCTTGCTGCCTCTAGTTTTTACATGGAAAACTTAACCCAGCTGTTACAGAGTTTGGCGTTTCACAGACTTCATTAAAATATTCCTCCTAACCTCAAGAAGCCGTAGTCCACAAGCCAAGCATTTCGGTTAGGATGTGCTTTGCTCCTTATAAAGGATATGAAACAGTTTTCCAGGAAATACTGGTTTCTCACTTTAAAACTTTCTACCTCTCAGTTGAAACATTGACCTTTTGTAGCTGTCACTTTACGTTTTGATGGGGACTATTTTTTTTATTTTTATATTTTTTTAGTTTGCACATTATAAAGAATATGAAACAGTTTCCCAGGAAATACTGGTTTCTCACGTTAAAACTTTCTACCTTCCAGTGTTTCAAAAAAACATTGACCTTTTGTAGCTGTCACACTTACGTTTCACATTTTTGATGGGGACTATTTTTTTATTTTTATATTTTTTTAGTTTGCACAAAATATTTTCTGATCATTAAGTATGGAAAGAACTAAAAAAGCATTATTCATGTTTAAATACACTTGGAACTTTATAGATGGGCTTAAGTGGCAAAAGTGGTTTTAATTTGAAGCAAGAAAAGGAAATTGGATCAGATGTTGTATAAACAAGCTGTAAGGGCATTGGTTTGGGGATTCTGCTCCTCTTTGCTGGTATCCTTAAATCATATTCTAGCATATAGTCTTTTCTGAGAGTCAATGCTTGCTGAAAAACTATATTAAAATTGATTAGGCATTAAAGAGCTCCACTCCACACTTGCCAGGACTGTATTAGTATTGCATGGAGTAGCTCCTGTTACAATGGCATGGTCTCTGCCTTCGTTGGTGATGCTGTTGTATCTCAGGGGATTAAATAACCCTGTGAACAAAGAATTTGATCCCTCAAAGTATATAAAAAAACAGGCCTTGAAACTTCAGAAGGGAACTGTTATTCAGGTCTTTCCCCAGCATCTGCTGCATTTCTCATGTGCAGAGATATTTCAAGCAATGCTCAGTGGCCCTGCAGTCAGGGAAACCTCAGTAAGGGGCTGCCTGTTAGAGGAGCACTGGCAAGTTTCTAGTTGTTGGACTTCAACTTTTCTGCGTAGTTGGGCTTCGATGCCTCTCTGAATTCCTATTTCCATTCAACCCTGAGCAGAACATTTAAGCCCTTAAAAATCCACACATGGAGGTGGTTTCTGCTTAATTTATGCATGACTTTTGGTAGGTAGACCAGAATGAACTTCTCGGTCATGGTGAGGCTCCAGTATTACACTCTTGCAAAAGGTTAATATTACCACAGGTCAGGTTTTCAGTAGAGCAGCTGATGTCTGTAGAAATCTTTGATGGATCCCATGTGCACTCCATCTCCATTGCTTCCTCGTAGCATTTGCGGTGCTGGAAACAGCAGCTTAAAAAATGAAGTAACACAAAGTTCACACAATTTAGGTTCAGTTCAACATCAGACTGCAATGCTTTCATGTCACTCTTACTCAAGAATGCAAAAGGTGCCAAAAGAGAAGAAGAAGTCCTCAGCATGGTCCCTAGGCACAAGAAAGGCTGAGTACTGCTTTTCTGTGAGTCAGTCTGGTGGGATAAGTAGAGCTGGATGCAAAACTCAGTGGTAGGAGCAGGTCTGCATGCTATGGGAGACCACAATTACGTTCCTCTCCTGTGGTACCTGAGTTCTTACGACTCAGCTCTAGAGGTCTTGGCTCCAGCCCTGCCACAATCTTTCTCACTACAGATTTGAAGAACTACACAGAACCTGGCACTCATGGAGTGTTAATGCCTCTGCAACACCTTGTGAATCCCTGTGTCTCACTGAGACTATATAAATACATGCAATGCTATCCTCTGTTTCTTGTACTGTCTCTTCTATGCAACAATCAGAACTAAAATGTACAATTTAGCCATGGGAATGCGTCATGAAATATTTTTCCCATACTGGAGTAAAGCAGCTTTCTCCTACCACCACACAACAGAGTTACAAATTAGTCTAATAGAAACTCCCTGCAGTTCTTGTTTGTTTAGAGCATCACAATTGCATCAACACTTAATGCAACGCTTAATCAGAAAATTAACTTGCCTTCCCTTTGCGAGCAGGGGACTGTAAGGCATGGATCGTCCTCTGGGCATGCTTCTCCTTCCCCAAGGACTATGGAGTTAGACTAGGCTCCTAGTTTAGATATGACTGGTAGCCACCCTGGGAAATGGAATAAGCTTGGGCTTATGGGCACTAACATTTCCCAATGCCTTAAAAACCAGCAGTGAGATGTTCAGCCCTTTTTTATGGAACAGAAAAGGCAGCGACTAAATCTGACGTTTGCAAAACTAGTTCCTAAGAAATAAAGTTAGTGAAAAAATTGCAATGCTGTGGGAACTGTGTCTGAGAAAGACACGTAGCAGCCACCTGTTTGGAGGCTCTCCTGAACCAAGGGCATATCTGTGTCAGTGGCAAAACAATAATCAGTCTCCATTTACTGCAAACTCCAGTGAGGTTGTCATGCTGCTAAGGAAACCTCACCGCAGGACTGCTAAACAATTTGTAAACAGAAAGTGACTCTGCAACGTTTCTCAGGAAAAAAACCTACTGATAGATTGTTCTGCTGTTTCTGTGTTTATGTTGTTCTGCATTAAAATGAAGCTGAGTGAAGCAAAGGCCCAGGTGCTCAGCTCGTCAGGTATCAATCCATTGAACTGAATCAAGCTCTCATTTCAGGATGTCATCACAATTGTACAGAAAACCTTTCCTAAGAAGTCCCATGGCTTTTTTCCAGTAGCAGGGTTAGATCTTCATTTTCCCAGCCATGCCTTCACTCAGGGAATTAATACCTTTTTTCTATTTAGATATGGATGGATCTTGATTCTCTTTGAATTTCTTTTCAGAACTCCTGCTGGCATAAGTGAACAACCATTTGAATGTCCTGGCCTGAGAATATGTTTTTTCTCACTAGCCCAGTCAGGGTCTGGGGCAGTACCCCTCCAGAACACAGATTGGAATTTGGACAGGTTTGTTCCTGGTGCATGGTACTGGGAAAAGCCATCGAGATACATTGTTCTCCTCTGCGCCTGGATGCTCCAGTGTCTTACAACCTCTCCATGTACACAGGTATTCAGGGCAAGGTCCACTTAACCTCCCAAAAGCCACCTGAAGTCATACTTAGCTGTAACCTGATTCTGTTGATGCTTAAATCCCCGCTCAGATGCCAACATTTTCATTATAGTCCACTATAAGCTTACATTGCTGGTGTATTACACAACTCCCAATACCAGCAGTTTGGTAAGATTTTAAACGCACTAAACCGTTCAGATTAATGCTCTTCCACTCACCTTATTAACATGCCCACCAGTTTTTGGCACCAGTTGAAATGTGAAACAGAATTGCCCAGTACAAAGAAATGAATGAGGCTTTGTTCACAAAGCTCTGTTCAGAATTGAGAGACCTCTGGGTAGGATATGTCAAGGTGATGGGTATGGTGCTTACTTATTCTGTTGCATTAGTGGCCACTCTTTACACCCAGTTTAAACCAGCTGTGCCACCAGAGTTGCACTGGTGTAGCTATATGCAGGTGTGGGGGACTTTGCTTTTATCTGTAGGTTGGGAGTATTTTTGGTGGCTGGTCACAAGCGGTGTCCCCCAGGGCTCAGTTCTAGGGCCAGTCTTGTTTAATATCTTTATCAATGACCTGGATGAGGGGATTGAGTGTGCTCTCAGTAAATTTGCAGATGACACCAAACTGGGTGACAGTGTTGATCTGCTTAAGGGGAGGACGGCTCTACAGAGAGACCTGGACAGGCTGGATCGATGGGCCGAGGCCAACTGTATGAGGTTCAACAAGGCCAAGTGCTGGGTCCTGCACTTTGGTCACAACAACCCCAGGCAACACTACAGGCTTGGGGAAGAGTGGCTGGAAAGCTGCCTGGTGGAAAAGGACCTGGGGGTACTGGTTGACAGCTGACTGAATATGAGCCAGCAGTGTGCCCAGGTGGCCAAGAAGGCCAATGGCATCCTGGCCTGTATCAGGAATAGTGTGGCCAGCAGGAGCAGAGAAGTGATTGTGTCCCTGTACTCGGTGCTGGTGAGGCCGCACCTGGAATCCTGTGTTTAGTTTTGGGCCCCTCACTACAAGAAAGACGTTGCATTGCTGGAACATGTCCAGAGGAGAGCCACCAAGCTGGTGAGGGGTCTGGAGCACAAGTCTT